CTCTGCTGCGCAGCAGCCGGATTACGTATCCTGTAGATAACATATGCATGAGAGCTGACCATAACAAACGCAGGTAGCAAGTAGTTGAGTATCATCCACAGATATGATTGTATCTCAAAGAACTGTTCAGTAGTGGGACTATCGATGGTGAATGCGGAATAACACTTGTTCGATTTGTATAGACGCAAGAAGAAATTGGGAGTAAACAAGAACAAAGTCATCAACACCTCATACAGGAAGAACGCAACAGCTGGTCGTATCTGATGTAGTTTATAGTGCCTTGGAAAACAAACGGCATAGAATCTATCGAGCGATATGCATGTCAAATTCTGCACACTTGCTGCGACTCCCAACCAAAACAAATTATCTCTGGACCACAGATAGCAAAGAATCTCGTCCAGCACAGGTAACCCCGTGTCGATTTCTGGTCCAGCAAGCTTGTAGATTAGTATGATGAAACAGGTGTATGCGTCAACTACACTTTGAGTTCGAAGTAGCAAGGTAGTGAGGCGCGAACCGATATGGCACTGACACAGGACGTATAGCTGAATAGTGTTCAAAATCGTACCGACGAAACCGAGGTTGGAAATGAGTAATAGCACAGCAACTGAAGCCTGGTCCATTCACACAAACCTTTGGTGCATAATCTTGCCTACTTTATCTCATGTGTTTAATACAGGATAGCGCACACCCACGATGACTGTGATTGGGCAATACACCCCTTCGTCTCAAAGCATAATTTGAGGGACATTGAGAGAGACATTGAGTGGGACAACAGTCCTGGTCCGTTGCTTCCGTTTCCCCTTTTTTTGCATCGCTGTGAGGTTCTTGGTCCCCAATCTACAAATAGTTTTGTTGTTTGAAACGTCTCATTATGGTAGGTTGAAGTACGTCCTGAACCACCAATCTAGGTGTGAAAACGAGGCTTATTTTGTAAGCCGACTGACCTCTCGTTATTTCAAAAATATCATTGCTAGAATGGTCTAAACAAAGTCCATTGACCAAAGTCACCAGTAAACGATGTTCCCCCAAGGGTTCAGTCACAATAAGCCAACGACCATCTACGCTACCTGAACTACTAACATTTACCTCTATAGAAAACCCTAGGATTTTTGAAATCAAACAGTTAATGTTCTATCTCAGACGACCAATGCCTGTTGAATTCACATTCTTCTTGACTGGGCAAGACTTCAAAAGTAAAACAAACACCAATGTGGAGAGAACTATAGGCGGTTCAATTTACAGCTTTTTATAACCGAACAACCATGGCCTATTACCGCAGCAGTACCTAACAGAAATTTCTGCACACAGGAGAAGAGATCACTGTTAGAATAGCCTCAACAATGTTCAAGAGACTGATAATATTATTTCCTTTGAACGGGTTATCTTAAATCGCCTGCATGCGAATGTCAAAATTCGAAATTGACGCTCCCAATGAGCTCACGGCACACCAGCTAACTTAAAGTAGTGTCCCGGTTGAAATTTTACATTCCCATAACACACATATCCGCTCCTTCTTACTGGCACTCTATCCTCAAGGTTCAGGTACTCAATGCGCTAAATATGGTAACGCCAACAACATGTGACAGGCAGGAGTTTTTGTACATGGAAGTGGAATTGGAAGTACCTGCAGCATGGACCAGGTATGATGTGATCCTGATTACGGAATGTGTCATTGCGGGAGTACTACCTGATGGTACCTGCTACACAGTATAAACATCATTCGACGGCCCTGGTCTGGCGCGATTATTTAGGCAATATCATCATTTTATAGCTACATAAACGCACGTGGCCGACCGGAAAAAGTAAACTAAGTTACAATGCCGAAAATGTCGTTAATAGTATTAGTTTAATGACGGAAGCGATTGATGGAAATTATGTACCTCTTTGAGGCACTCAAGGTGTCTCGCTATCCACACAGAACACCGTGTTGTCATATATATGCACTGTTAGCATATTTTTCGATCAGCCAGGCCATAGCAGGGACAACACCGAAATACCTTCAAGGTTACGCCCACATAAAATAAGGAACAAGTTCTTCGAAGCTGTCAGTCTGCCCATAATTTATAACCCTGTAAGTGATCAGTGCTTCGGTGTCATGTGTATTGTCCGTCACATGTCAAAGAGTTGGGTCCTTCGAAATTTATGAATTCTGAGGTTCATCTCTATTTCTGAAAGAGAAGTACATTGGTTCACTAGGTAACTGCCTTCTCTGACCACAGCTCAATATATTTATTGTTGACATAGGTCATCATACCTGAATTTACTGGAGCATATCTGCTTTTATTTAAATCTCATCTCACCAATTTTATTAATCCAAGTACCAGTCAACCCGAGGATGTTGTACAGAAACGAAATTCATTAAAAATGGGTGTGATTCTAAAAATTCTTTCCTCCCAATGAATCTGACCGTGCCTAAACATTCTATTTACAAGTGCTCTACAGACATTCAAGGAATGTGAGGTCTCACAAATTAAGGCATGCTCAGAACCATTGCGTACTGATTGACTTGTTGTCTAACGTACAACATTTACACAGCAGACTACACGTCCAATCGAGCAGGCATTCTTTATGGCAAAAGGAGACGTCGCAGGAGGGATGCGAAAACTTCTTCGGGTGAACGACATTCATTTTGTGTTAACAACAACATATTTGTAAATTAGATTCCTGGGTTTGAATCACTACAGACTAGTGAAAATGTTTAGTTATGCTGCAGTAGTATAACTCGCTCGGTTTACGCTTGATAGATTTTATTACTGTAAGTAGAAAGATCGATCAAGTTAATGATGAAAGGGAGCGTTGAGAAATGATGTAGTGTGTAGGAGAGTGGGAAGAAAAACAAAATGATATAAGGAAATACCAGCAGGAAATGAGCACATGTTTCAAGCTACTTTGCCGCAGTTAAATGCAATCCGGTGTTCATTGGCGTGACGAAGTTGACGGTGATTCATAATATGTGCAAATTAGAGGAAGACCAACAAGTTACTTCCAAAAGCAACCTGTCCAAAGTTACTGCTCAGCTTTATGTGGTGTCACACCTAGGAGATCACGTAGATATCCAAAATCTTCTTTCGAACGCAACACACGGTTGCTTTTGTATATGTTTGCTTCAAATCATGTAGGAAAGATCCATTTACGACCAACGTTTTCAATATACCTCTTTGCAAACACATTTCAATGCGCTTTGAAGCAACTACAAAGGCGATGAACACAAGAGATAATCAGTCGCAGAAGCGCTAATGCCTACAGTTGCTTTGGATACGCCCAAGCCTGCGAACCAAACGGATACAGCGTAGTTCGAAATAAGATCTAGATGCGCAAATCAGTACGAGTAGTATATGCTGATACTTGAATGCCAGACTTTTCAATTAAGGAATTTGAGGCTACGCAGACAAACCATATTACTTCTCTTCCACACCGCATGTTCAGAGAACTCGAGCCATGTCTCGCTCGACTACGAAAGCGCGAAATGGGATAAGGTAGATGAAACACTTTTTCTATTGAGAAATGAGCTGAAACATGAGACAAACATAGGCATATAAAATCAAAATGTTCCGGGGAGGAATTAGGCAGTCGGCACCAAAATAACCACGCGGCTGAATCTTCAGTCTATGTACTCTTCAAAATTGTAGTTCTCCGAATAATCATCATAATCCCCTCCATGCACCTTGTAGTCGAATACTGAAAACAAGAGAAAGTGAATAAGCGGCCAGCATAACGAAAGCTAAATCACTTAGTTTAGTTGAACATGTTCGAAAATCAACCAGCCACCTTACGATTTGATTGGTTCTGTATATAAGGAACAGAAATTGAATAATGTTTTATGCTTTTACCGAACGACTTGCTTAAGTGGGAGGAGTTTTTTCGTCTTAGATGGGAAATGTTACCTGCATCAGATGCCCTTTGTTTGATCGCGTGGAGGAGAAACGCCACTCATGAGCGTTGGAAATTCGGGTAATGAGTTCTATGCGGTAAGCGGGAGCTGAATGACGTCACCCAGATAAGTGAGTGGTTTTTTATTCCAGGGGCTCAGAGGGGATCCATGACCCCTCAGGGAGTTAATGTGACGGCATGCACAACCTATCTTGACAGAATGTGGTCAATGCTGTGTACTATTACGACCATGATTTGGTCAGTTATCGGTCCGGATTTTAATCCGACAATACTCGTCTGTGTTTCGCCAGCTACAAGAATTGGTACCTTTGGTCATATCTTCTACTTACACAAGGAAATGAGTTTAACCTGCCTTCAGCTGTGGAGAAGTTTCAGGCTGGGATTATGAGAAGTTCAGTCAAATTTTTTTGCAAAGCGCTTACTTCATTTCCAATCGATTAAAGTCGATGTATTTTTCGACGATGTGGTTGTTTTCACCCTTCTTCCAAAATTACCCCAGTAGCATCCAGAATATTCCGGCAACGCTATCCACTATAAGTTGAACTAACAAAGCTTACTGTCATTTCTACAGTTGTGTCACATGTGGTGACCAGTTTGGTTGACTACGTTGACTCGCGTTATGTGTTAGAACGTTCGATATACAAACACCGTGTTTATAACAGTATTTGATGCGCTATCCGCATAATCGGAGTGACTAGTTCAATACGACGGCGACGTTGAAACATCGAGCAACAACACTCACGTGACCTCTATGCCCGCTTCGGACTTCAGTTGACTGTATCGCCTGAATCACATGGCCGGCTGAACAGGCTAAATCATGATTACTGGTGCCGGCACAATACCATTCGCTCATCTGATTTATCGCCATGCTTGGCTGTCAGGTTTACGTAACTCGAATTAAAGTGCTTCAACGAACGGCATAACCGGATGCAGTTTATAGTTGAGCCCTTCAGAATCCATCCATTCCACCGAGCAATAAATACCGTTTGGCTTAGAATATAAATGAATCTAGCTAATATGACACAATGTTACCTAACCACAAGAATGAACTGAAAGATCCCACCAATTGCTTCCTGAAACGAGAACAAAAACCAACGCCACCTACATTCTTCATCCTGAACTCCGCCCCAATAGCCGTTGAACAGACACTCCTGGGCATCCATGTTCAACTCTTGCAGAAACAGTGTATGCACGTCGTAATATTCATACGGATCAAGGTCGCAGCGAAACTCCGTCGTATCGAGATAGTACTTTGCCAAAACATGACCGTCTACTGGAACAGTACTGTTTTCGACGGGTTGACAACCGGACACGTAGAATCGTCTCCTGTTAAACATTTTCTCATCCAGCTAGAGGGCAAAGTGGATTAGATGCATAGGAAACATTATTGTAAGCAAGGATGTTTGGCCGAACGGCACAATAATTTCTATAGATCCTGCTTCATACTCCACCCATATCTTACCTGATCACAAAAGCCCTCCACATAAGGTCCAACAAGAATGAAACCTATTTGAGTGAAAATGTCATAATGAAAGTATTGCGATGGAGGCAAAGTGAGTTTCATTCTCAACAGGGATTTGAAATTTCTGCGCAACGTTCCAAGACACAGAAGACCAAAAATGCATTTTCACTGGAGTACAAATCTACCCCCAACCTCTCTTGCCGTGGTAGCTTGTTACATGCATGCCACATATAATCAATTCGTGAATTAGCATTATCCATAAACTTACGGGTCACGTGGCATGGTCAGAGCCATGTTCGGGATAACTGTGAAACGTGTCGAGGACAATGTCTTTGAGTATGAAGTTAACCGGGTGACTGTGACACCATACAGATTCACGCAATCCACGCACTTACATTTACGAGGCGCGTACTCGGAGACGTGCGTCGATGCTGAAATGCATATACATATGCGAATGGATGAGCGTTCAGTTGGTCTTAGTCACCGAGTTTCTGCCCTACGTCCTCACAAAACAAAGATCAAATTGTGGCATTTTAAGCACAACTGTGACCAGGATTTCACTCACGTATCGCGTCTTTTGTCTGGGCTCTGCCGGTTGTAACAACACATGTTGTATTTCCCCCATTCAATAGACGATTCAAGTACCACATACGGAAATCATACGACAATTCAGCTGGGTAATCCTCTGGTAGGTTGCTGACATTCAACTTGACATGCATCAACAGTTCCCTTTGGTTGCCGGTTTGATTCTTTTGGGTCCTTATATCACAACCGTACACTGTCTTGTCCTCCCAAATTTTTCGATTCCGCTGTATTATCTGAAAAATTGTGTGAAACACAACCAGGGTTATGCAACAATTATTTGTTCGTGTTCACAAAGTTTCGTCGTCAAAAATTAGTCTACAATGTGTGGTTACAACCCGGGGAACCCAGATGGCTCCACGGGGAATTTAGAAGCATACCTGATTGTTCTGACCGAGGGAGTGTCAGTGATCCAGGGGGAAACCTCAGTCTCCCATACATACAGCTCAGTGATCACCTATATACAGTGAAAATGCTTACGAAATATGCCCCTTGACCGAAGCTCCATTAATCAGCCAAGTAAGAAACAGAAATCCGCCTGTCCAACTGTACACTTAACACTAATCCGCTATTTCGCACATACGTATCAATGTCCTGAACAAGCAACCTCTGGAATACTTCCGGCTGTTTCGTCGACTTTCTTTCGAAGCTATGTTTATCCCATCTGTCATTCTTACCCCTCTGTTGCTTGGCTGTATAGTCTACGCACTTGTACAAGACGTCCTTCGCTTGAAAATAGGATTTTTGAAGGGAATAATGCACTTAGATTGACCTGATATCTTGATTGCCCGAACCATGATGGTTCTAACAAACAGGTCTTTATAATCTGGTTGTTCAAACTCCCTCATAAAATCACCAAATCACGCAGCTCATCTGTGAGCGATACTTCTACAAATCTGATTATATACACTCATATAACACTGCTTATAAGATGGATAGAAAATGTGGACCGTCTGCAAGGTTTCGTCCTTCTCGAGACGCATCAGGTAAGTCTAATCCCCGAGTATCCAACAATCGTACTTCGTAGTGAGTATTTGTATCCCTCAGGTTACCTTATGAGTTTTCATTGTTTTCAGAAAAATAGTTCGTGATTCATCATCAGAACATGCATAGGTTTCCATTTTGGAAAATCATGTCTTGCTATGAGAAATAATAGCACGTGATGCGAATAAATATACCATCAAAGTTACTATACTACACTATACTATACTATCAAAGTAATCAAGTGAACATTCAATTCAATCCAACACTCAACTCACCAGATCACAATCCCCAATTCCGCCCGCTTGTTCGTTTGGCACAAGAAGTGAAACCTCGACTACTAATGGAAACAAGAGTATGAAGTTATTGTGAAGTGAATAATATTGGTGAATGGGCAAGCATAAAAAACGCAGTGACACATTTGCCATGATTTTCCCTCAATCCGTACTCTGCCTAGATCCACTTACATGCCCAGTCGGCTTCACCGAGATACGTAGCCAACAAAACGAGGCATGCACTAAGAAGTAGCATTGTTTAACTTGTGTGTGACTTCGTCTGGCAAGTGAATCCGAACCGTTTAAATAATACCAACTGTTCAAGGTCGGTACTGGTTGAACTAATATATAACCACATGAGCATTCAAACTTTCTAATCGTCCTTCAAGTTTATCTGTGTGAATGTTTTTCTTGTTTTATGTAGATGCGATTGAAATCCTTAAATCTTTGTCTCTGATGGAATGCTATGGTTATTTGGTGATATAACCACATATGATTGTATTCCAAGAATGGACGACCACTAAAGTCTGTTGGCATATGAAAATGAGGGACACCACTTATAGAACTTCGCTGGAACACGCACACCATGGGAGCCGATATCCATGATGCTTTGGAAGCAGTCACTTTAGTCCGACTCAATAGTTTTTTAGATTAATTTTGAGTCTCTGTCTCTGAGCGGAATCTGAAACAGGGCCTCTTCTTATACCCCATTTCATACAGCACTGTTTATGGATTTCTAATAGCCTGCTGAAGAACGGCTATAATTCCTAGGTTTTGCCATTGTCTCTGCTATCCATCGGTTGATGTTGCTACCGCCAAGACACACGGTGCCAAAGCTTTTGGCAACCTGAGCACGGTGCGTTTGCTCGGTGTGTTCTGAAAACGAATATCAACCAGGGAAGAGTATTTGGGAAATGAGAGCCTAGGGAATTTCTAAAATTATGAAGATGGATACACAGGGCGTCTCTGGCGGTCTCTACACCTTCGGTTACTATGACATCATATTTGACATGACGCGTTTCATTATGGCGTACGCCTTCGGCAGATACGTCTCTCTTGAACATTCATAAAAAACAGACGGGGGTTGGGGAAGTCAACGTTTGGGGATCTGTTTGTGTGCTGCCTACTGAGGTGCTGAATACACGGAACATCAGGAAATGCAGTGGAGGCATTAACCTCTGAGTAGTCTGACGGCAAGCCTTGCAGACATTTGTACGACAGCTTTAGAGTAACCATCCACAATACAATAAGCCGCATTGCCTAGAAATTACCTCTTGGCGCTGAATTACTTTTACCTCTATTGAATCTCACTTGACAACTTGATAATTCCCCCATTCATTTACATACTGTGTTTGCTTTGTTACTGATCTCTAGTGGTTTAACTCCACACCCCCTATTCACCTTTCTCGTAAAAGCCGCCATGACTGACGCTAACATGCTAGCATGTGTGTTCATATGTGCCACTGTCTTATTCGTCTATACGCGTCCTTGCTCCGTTTGCTCGGCCTCACATAACCTGTTCCGCCCTGATCCCCGTGTGATCGAACCGCCAACTGGAATCAAGTGATTAATTTTCAAACATCACCATAAAGCCAAATTTGCCTTCACTGTTATTTGGTGTACGGGCCTTGACGCGTCGCTGCACCGGTCAGTGGCAAACTTATACTGTTGTTGACGTGGAAGCTTCAGTTTGTTGTATAATTGTGGTTATTTGTGTGTAAATAGTACTGTGGACATTCGAACGCAAGTTTTATAATGGGGCACAAAAACTAGGCTTAAAAATCCATTCGGTAGAAAGCCCCAGCACCAAACGAAGTTCGCGGCTGATATTTAGATGAGTCTTCTGCACCAGGACAGCAATATCCCCTGGACAACGTTTGACGGCAGAAAAGAAAGGAAATCAGTCTATATCTCTACATTTACTGATTCAATTTAGTGTCCTATCCTCGGGTTTTACAATAAGCAATATTATTACCATATCACTTCAGGGAACGAACGGTGAACAGCCTAATTTAAGCGAATCCGTCTCATTTCCGCCGGCCACCATTTTGTCATTGAGTGTAAGACTGAAGTTGGAAAACGACTTTACTATATTTTCCTGAATCCTAAGGAGCGTGATCATTTCTCACATTGGTTTCTCTTGAGCGATAGTTCTTCTAAAAGCAACAGATAGACATCTTAAACGCATACCACTAAATCCGGTATTTTCCCTAGAGAATGCACGTCGAATGTGTGCTAACATTAGTTGGGTTACCAGCATATTCTGCTAGTTTTGCAGTTATGTTGGTTATTGGACTGGTGGGGGGAAATATCTTTGGTGTTACACAGCCCAGTACTTGTTGATGACAGTTCTATCTTCCTCTACAGCGATCAAGATAACTCACCCCAAATTGATTGACTTTTATTAATTTTCCTGGCAAAACGTTATTCCCAGTAAAGAACACCTATCGATGGAGAACAATCCTAGTCGGTCTCCATAAGAGCAGTGTTGGTCCGGTTTCAGTTTACCACAAAACTTGAGTAGTATTTTATGAAAATGGAGCAGCAACTAAACACGGATTTCCCCTTTCTTGGACTAAGAAAGTGCCGACAGAAAGCGATCGTACTAGGATACCTGGAGAAAGCGAAATGTGGAACTAATAATCCTCATTATTAACTCTGCCTCCAATCAGCCCCACTTTTCGAAAGGTCATCGAACATCGTGGTGAAAATTTCCAACTTGAAGTTATCATATGTTATCCCGTATTACTTGATGCGGATATGTAGGACTTCATTATGAATACCTCGATAATCAGTCATTAGTAATTATATACTAATATAGGAGATCACGTACCCTGAAATATGTCTGCTTTCATTTGGTCCGAGAAGACCTTAAACCGTCTGACATCCATTTAGCACCCCATGATTCCCATGGTCCAATCCGAATTCAGAGCATAGTGGTAGTGCATTTGATTGAACCTCATTTGACGGTCAAATTTATAAGTGGATTATAAGGTTTAGGGGATCCAGATCGTACTGGTTAAACCCCAATAGTTGAAGACAAACGAGCGCCAGTATATGGTTTACCGTCAAAAAACTTTAGTCTGGTCAATTTGCGAACTTCGCTGGCTTCGTCAAAATGAGTTGCGTAAAATACATCGTTAAATTCTGTCCCATGGGACTCAGCCGATCCGACCCACGACATCCTTGATCCGAATCGTGAGAACCCTGACCGGGAAGAGATACCGTGGGATACTTGCGTGTAGAAACGTAGTGCACCGTATTGGACAGAATTCAGATAGCGCATTGCAAGTTCTCGCCGCATACGACTGCCGTTTGTAAGCAAAAAGTCAGCTCTCGTACTTCAACCAACAGTCGCTTGTTGAAAGGCTTTCAGTGCAATGCACGTAAGAATATAATTCACCAGTACACCCTTGCTTAACACGAGTCTAAGTGATGGATTGAAAGTCTGTGACGCTTAACATCTAATCTGCTGATTTTCTTGTGAATGTTCCGCAAAGTATGTATGGCTTGGTGTCTATATCGGGGGGTTGTGGGTTAAAATCAGACAAACCGAACAGCTGACCAGTGCAGCTACATGCTACCTGTTCGTCAAGGATGACCGTGTTCAGTCAGCTTGATCGTTCAGTGCAATAGCTTCAGTGTCAGCTAATCTCTTAGCTACCTGAACACACGATAGGACAGAATTTACTTTGGCCAAGTAGTGATTTATCTCTGAAGGTGACTATAATATTCTTGACTTTTAAGCAATCTGATCTCACTTATCATTCCCACATCCTGGAAAGCTGTCTGAATGCAAATGTGTAATCGCAATGACCGCTGGTAACCATCTCAACGTGAAATTTCTTAAGATCTTCGCGTACAAATTCAACAAATGGCCGCGAATTCGGTAGCCAACCCCTTCGGCTGAAAGACGTTGGATTATTGAATGCGCTGGTTAAAACCGTAAGGAAAAAGTCAATAAGCTTCCCTTGCGTGCC